GGTCCGGGCTGGGGATTTGAACCCGCCACCTTAGGTGTACGTGGCTGGCGCCTTAGCCGGTTGAGCTATAGGCGCAGATCCAGAAATTCTTATGTGTTCCAGCACTAACACTGTTAACTCTACAGTAGGAAATACACAGGCAGTAAAACAGTTCCTGTGGACAGTGTAGGAGTTTCTCCCCAGGCATAACTGAAAGCACATGACCTGGTAAAATGTCACAAAGTAATAGTTATCAGCATAGAAACACTCAGGATTTTGTAGATTTTTTACTCTGCTTTAGTTTGAAAAGAAGCAAATAGTGATTATATCTGACCTAATGTTGGTAGCACTAACAGTTGTTGTTTATATATAATACTTTTCCTTCCCAACTGTGATTGCTGTACGATCTAAAGATATTATTTTACTTGTCTTCACACATTTTTCCCAATTGACAGATAAAGAACTGAAACACAAATCAATTATAGGACTTGCCCAGGGTCTCTATATGAATCAGACTAGTAGCTGGGAGGAAACCCTATCTCATAATTAGCATAAATATGTTCTCAAACAGCACAAGTAAAAAAGAGTAATTCTCACAAAATGATTCTATATTAAAGTTTAATATTTTGCTAATGATTAAGACATATACACAAAGGAAAAATAGAAATGCTTGGTATCCACTGAAGTCCAGGGCACATAGCAGCTCTCAGCAATGCGAAGGTGAATCATCACCTTATTCTGTCCTGTTCCTGATAGGCGGGCCTCAATGAGCAAAAAGTGAAAGGACAACTAGGACTGAGCAGAAAATGGTTGTCTCAGCAGGAGCGATCCTAGCTGCAGTCAGTCACTCTAGTAGGCTCAGTTTCCACTGGGTTCTTGTGTCGATTTTTGGCGGTATAAAAAGCTCAGAATCTGAAAGAAAGGAAAACTGAGACACACACTCTTGTTGGTGGGACCTGAGGCAGTAACTCTAAGCTAAACAAACTATGCCATTGGGTTTTGTAGCTACAAGATAACCATCAGAGCCAGAGTCAACCTGTCTACAACCCTTGGAAACTCTAGGTCAGAGCAAATAGACTGGAGGCCTTATCCTGAGAGTGGGGACTGTGTTTCAACTTCAAGCATGCGTGCCAAGTGATTCAAAGTGTCAGAAGGTTCTTTATTTCCATTGGGAAGGAGGGCGATAGTGGTAGTAGGTAATGGCTATAAACATCTTTAAAAACTCTTCAAATTACATACCTAAGATCTATGCATTTCATGTGTCAAAGTTACATCAATTTTTAAAGAATAAAAAGGGGTAGCATGTATCATAAATTACTTTGTGATAAAAAATACTGTTGATCAATAAAGATGCCCCTGCTGTAATAAAAAGAAAGGTAACAGAGGAGGAGGTTAGTGGAAAATTTTATCACTATATCCCAAAACTTCTAGGCATTCTTTCAGTTAAATTCGTGAAATCTCTCATCTAACTAGGAATCATATACAAGAAGCAGAGAAATGAGGAAATATGGATACATAAGGATGTTCTTTCTTGGCATTTTTATAATTAAGCTTCCTATAGCACATCCGCACACGGGGTCATATAGACATACAAGTTATAGTTGACCATTGAACAATTAGGGGTTAGGAGTATGGATCCTCACATAGTTACAAAAACACACATAACTTTTGTTTTGGAAATAATAAAGTCTCACACAGTTGCCCTGAGGTTGAGTGCCCCAGTGTCATAGCTCACAGCAACCTCAAATTCTTGGGCTCAAGTGATTCTCTTGTCTCAGCCTCCCAAGTTGCTGGGACTATAGGCATTTGCCACAACGCCCAGCTATTTTTTTTAAAGACGGGGTCTTACTCTTGCTCAGTCTGATCTCAAACTCCTGAACTCAGGCAATCCACCTGCCATATATAATCTTTTTTTTTTTTTTTAATTGAAACAGAGTCTCACCCTGTCACCCTCAGTAGAGTGCCATGGTGTTATAGCTCACAGCAACCTTAAATTCTTGGGCTCAAGTGATTCTCTCGTCTCAGCCTCCCAAGTTGCTGGGACTATAGGCATTTGCCACAACACCCAGCTATTTTTTTGTTTCTTTGTTTAGCAGCCCTGGGCCAGGTTCAAACCCACCAGCCCCGGATGGAGCACGTGGCTGGTGCCCTAACCACTGATCTACCAGCGCCCAGCCCACATATAATTTTTGACTCCCCCCAAACCTAATTATGTATAGCCTACCATTGATCAGAAGCCTTACCAATAATACAGTGGATTAATACATGTTGTATGTATCAATACTGTATTCTTACAATATGGTAAGGTAGAGAAAAGAAAATTAAGACAATCTTAAGGAAAATATTATGTTTACTAGTCATTAAATGGAAGTGGGTTGCCATAAAGACTTTCATCCTCATTGTCATCATGGTCAGTAGGCTGAGCAGGTGCAGGAAGAGGAAGAATTGGTCCTATTAACTTGGGGTGGCAGAGAAAGAAGAGGTAGAGGAGAAGAAGGCCGGTGCAGTGACTCACACCTATAATTCCAGCACTCTGAGATGCCAAGGTAGGCGGACTGCCTGAGCCAGAGCACAACCCCACCTCTAAAAATAGCCGGGCATCATGGCAGACACCTGTAGTCCCAGCTACTCAAGAGACTGAGGCAAGAGAATCACTTAAACCCACGAGTCTGAGGTTGCTGTGAGTTAAGATGTCAAGGCACTCTACCAAGGGTGACAAGTGGTAGAGACTCTGTCTTAAAAAAATAAAACATGATTTTTTTATTATACATAATACATGCATACATACATACACAGGTACATCATGACTAGAAATTATTTTAATTTTCTTTGACATACTTTACAATTCAGATTTTCTCTGCTAAATATATCAATTTTGTAATTAAATACACTTACTGTTCTCCATCCCTCCAAAATAAAAATCAATATAGACAAAAGCCAACAGGAGGTTTGGGTTATATAAGAATATCTATACTAGGAAAAGGCTACTTAAATAAATTCACTGTCAACAAGGTCCATTGTTAATTTCATGAATAGTAATTAAAGGTTGAATAAGACTTTATCTTTAAAAGAAAAAAAAAACAGTAAGGAAAATAACGTGTACTCTATCTTAACTTTTTCCCTTTTTTTTCCGAGATGTCTTGCTGTATTGCCCACGGCGTCAAACTCCTAGGCTCCTAGTAATTCTCTCACCTCAGTGTACTGAGCAGCTGGGACTACAGTCATGAACCAACATGCCCAGCAAGCTCTATTTTATTTTGAAAAATCAGGCACAAATACAACTGTATTTGATTCTAGACTTCACTTGGAATAAATACCAAGTATTGACTTTTCAGCAAGCAAGTAATTATTCTGACAAATAGTGATGGTAGGATGGACATCTTTCATATTCCCACTTTTGAATTTCACAGCCCCAAAAGATAGTCACTTATATAAAAGTACCTTGGGGACATTTCACTTTTTCCAAAGACCTCCCTTAATCTTTTGATAGTCAAATCACTGGAAGTGCTTACTTTGTTATCATACCAAGTCCAACTTGGCTGTGATTCAAGCACTTTCCTAATAGCGCTTTAATTCATTTTATGAGATAGTACATTTTTGCAAGACTTGTAAATGATCTACACAATATTGCAATACATCAAAGCATGAAATAATCAGAGAAAATGCCCCATCAAGTTACTGATCCCACTTGTGGGCGCGTGTGAACATACTTAACCTTCTAACTGGGGTTGACATGTAAGGAATATTTGAGGGAGACTAATTTTGTAATTAGTTCATCAATGCCAAATTTTGAACAAAGAGAACTTCCCTTTTCACAATCACATAATTGTAGGACAATGATAATAAACACTCAGATAAGGATGAGCTTTGTGGTTCAGATGGGAAATGAAAGCGTTCTTTGAATTAGGAAAGCCATCTGGAATACCCCAGGGAATGGTGGGACTGCACCTGACCTAAAGGTCAGCACAAGACCAGGAATACAGGAAGAAGAAATCACAATTTGGACAACAGTTCAAAATAAATAACCAAATTTCTTCAGGTCTAAGGTAAATTTTTAGCAACTCAGAAAAAAGTATGTGTTAGAGCTGATCCCAAATGCAGCTTGCTAGACTTCAGAAAGAAGGGGAGCTGGGATAGTTAGTTTGCATGTATGTATGCATTTAGCTGGCATGGAAGGTAGTAGGTTCATTCCTGGTAGCAACATAAACTGCTAAAGTTAAAATGATTTGAATCCTCACAGGCTGCTTCAAATGTCACCCAAACTCTATGAGAGTGAAGCACTGAAATAAAAAAAAAATTCAGAACATTGCTTGTCACGTGAAAATGGCAGTGAAAGTGCCAATTTTAGAAAATATCACCAACTTTTCAAAGCTAAGAGAGGTGGTACGCTTGAATGATAAATCTGAAGGGCAAATACTCAAGGTGCCAAGTTGTGTAACTAATGTTTCTATCAAACTTTCAAAAGACAGCCTTTAGGGCTTTTAACGTTTAGGGATATATGTAATCTAATTGAGAACCACCTCCCAACAAGCATACAAGACATTTTACATATAACTAAATAAGAAATACATATAAAATGCTAATATTCTTCACATTTGCCTTCAAATTATATTGTCAATTCTAAACATGATAAAAAAGATCCCAGTCATAAGCAAGTGTTATGAAAACATCCTCAAGATGCAATGCGTAACTGTCAAGAGCCAACAAACGATGCTTCAGAAGAATCTTTCAATGTGTATTTTAATTAGACTGTTGAGACTAAAACAGTAACTGTGATATACCTGTATAAGTGTTTGCCATTGTCAGCAAGATTTTTTTAAAAATTAGACAAGTAATGGTCATGTTGGATTTCATCCACCAAGTCCCCACCACCAGAAGCATTAAATTGACCTTACTAAAATGCAGTATTAGAATTGAGGAGAAACTGTTGTCAATACCCAATCTCTCCTTACACTGCTGATGTTTTCAATACTTATGGAAAGATATTCTTCCTGCTTATTACTATAATTTATAGGGGAAAAATACTAACCAAGAACAGGAACCGAAGTCTTCTGTTGTTGGTAAGAGGCCATGATACTATTTGCAGTAGAATTGGGACCTAGAACCTAAGCAGAAAGTACACTGCATTAGGAAAGATCATCTCATACGTCTGATGACTGCAAACACCAAAGGCCAAGTTCCTACTAGCAATAAATAGCCTGTCCTTTTTACTGGTATAGTATCAAACAAAGTAATTCTCTTTCCCTATGTGATTTTAGTCTGTCAATTTTTCCAGTTTCAACTCAGATCCCTAATTCTCTTTTCTCCCAGAAAAACAAGGTAATGATGGGGTGGGGTGGGTAGAAAGAAAGAAAAGAAAATTTACAACAATGATATGTGGCTTGCCTTTTCCAAATGAGCAATCCATTCCCTTAGGGGAGGGAAAGCAGTACAAGAGGCTACAGAATACACAGAGTATCAACTATACTCTAAGAATTGTGGGAAATATGTTCATATTAACACAAATACAAATACGTGCATATTATGGAAAAGAATGCAAACTCTGCACATGTGTTCAAGGTAAAACACAAGATTTCATAGGAATTTCAAGCCTGCAGCAAGAGGCCAGGCCTTGGTGGTACATTCTCAGAAACAATGCCATGTGCTTACAGCATTTCCAAGTGATTCACAGTATCCTGCACCTACTATTAGCATGCTTTACCAGTCAAAACGAAACACAATTTTCCTGGCCTTTTTCCCTAAAGGATTCATAAAGTTAATGTCTTAAAAGTTAATATGACTGGCATAGAAGAGGGGAGGGGAGAAGCCAGGGGGACAGCATTACAAATTATCAGTTCCAAAACTACTATACTTTTGAAGATGATCACATTTCTTCTAGGAAATACACATACCTATTACAATAATTTCAAGAATTTAGGGGGTCCTGATTCTTAGTTGCTTCTATTTCTATGCTTTATAAAGTCTATCCTCTTACTTAACCTATATAAATAACATTCCAGTAAAGCATATAAGGGAAATCTCCTCCCCTTTCTGAGGAAAGCATTAGAAGCAAGCATTTATGTGTCTAACCAGTGAGCTGTTTAATAACCTCTCAGCATTAAGCCCACCTTTCTATACACTGCTTGTGATGCTGGGGCTGGAAGTCTGGAAAAGCATTACTCTATCACTCTATGATGCTGGTTTCCTGTTATGCTCTGCCAATAGACAGCATCACAGGGAGAGTGCAAGGCTGGAGGAAGAAGAAAGGATTTGTTTGCTGTTACCCAAGCAACAGATACTCCTTCTTAGTTTCCACTTACTTCTGTACACTTAGAACCAGCTTCATCGTGCCCCCTCAGAAATATTAGGACCAGCTGGCTGGTCTCTACTTCTCAGAGGTTCAAGAACCAGCTCTGCAGGGCTCTACCTCCAACTTCAAAATTCTAACAATTCTGAACTTTTTCTTCTGTTCCCTCAGCCTTAGGGGTAGAAGCTGCTTTCTATAATTACTATCTCAATGTCCTTCCACTGTATTCCCACCTTGCCTTTTTCAGTCTTCTAATACTTATTTAACCAATCCATATATTAAATTCTCTGACAAAATAATACATATGTTCTTTGTTTTCCTTATTGGACCCTGACTGATACAGCAGCCTTTCCAAATCCAAATCCATTAACAATAGACTTGGGGTGGGGGTGGGGTAAGAGACTGGGCATAAGTGTAAACAATAAACAAGGTGACAATACATAATGATTCTTTTTTTCTTTTTTTAGATAGAGTCTCACTGTGACGCCCTTGGTCGAGTGCTGTGGTGTCATAGCTCACAGCAACCTCCAACTCTTGGGCTCAAGCAATATCTTCTCTTGCCTTAGCCTCCTAAGTAGTTGGGACTACAGGTGCCTATCACAACACCCAGCTAATTTTTTTGTTTTTTTAGAGATGGGGTCTCACTCTCACTCAGGCTAGTCTCAAACTCATGAGCTGAAGCAATCCACCTGCCTCAGCCTCTCACAGTGCTACATTAGAATTCTTGATGGGACACAAAACTGATTCAGTCTTAAGTATAAATACCAAAGCTCATCATAACATGTAAGTGACAAATCAAATTTCCCATCAAACAAAAGGAAAAGCAATTGTCTAGGGTCCCTTTAAAGATGTTGACCCCATTCACAAGTTCTTAGCTGGGAAGTGAGAGGCCCTCTCTGATCCTATCTTCCCCCTCTGCCCATCCCGATCCTAATGAATCGTGGGGCAACCACCTAACTCTCTCTTCTTCTCCATGACAGTTGCTTCACCAAGAAAGGAGAAGTAACAGTCTACTTAGCCTGCACCAAGAAGTACTAGTCACTGTACAGGCAAATATGTAATCTTCATACTAACACAAATTTAAGATAACTACGGCATATTATGTATGTGTATTAAGAAAAGGAAAGTTTCTGTTTTGACTTTTAAGGAATTATGTGAATGCAATAGCCTGTGAAAATGATGAAAAAAATGTACAATGTCTTTGAGAAAACTTACAGGTGTGGCTGAATTCTGCTGGTCAGTGGGAGTCCAAATTTCTGGAAGTGACTTTTCCATTAACTGCAGAGCATCTTCAAAGGCCTTCTGTAATTCCCTTCCTTGCTCATCAAACTCAAAGAGAAAAAGTACCTTTAAGGTATGGTACACTTCATCTAAACAGAAGAAATTTGAGAGAGTGGTAAGTTATATTTCTAGCTCCATTGGTAAAACTGTCCCATAGTTTCTTTTCCAAGCAAAACTTTCTACTATCACACTACAATTGTATTCTCCCACATTTTCTTCTTTCTTCCCCAGTGCTGGAGTAATTCAACACATCAACTACAAAAAGAAAAACAAATACACCAGGGCCCTGGCAGGAAGCAGTGTCCCACAATTCTTTATCCTGGCTCAACTGCTACTCTCTCACAGGTCAGTTTGGTGCATGCCAAACAGCATAAGTCTCCTCAGCTACCAACTGCAAATGACTTTTAGAAATGTACATGGAAATGACTATATATGGAAATGACCCTTCCTGCTAAAAGTTTTCATCTTCGGGTGGTGCCTGTGTCTCAGTGAGCAGGGCTCTGGCCCCATATACTAAGGTGGTGGGTTCAAACCCGGCCCGAGCCAAAATGCAACAAGAAAATAGACGGGCATTGCAGTGGGCACCTATGGTCCCAGCTACTTAGGAGGCTAAGGCAAGAGAATCGCCTAAGCCCAAGAGCTGAAGGTTGCTGTGAGCTGTGACGCCACAGCACTCTACTGAGGGTGACAAAGTGAAGCTCTGTCTCTTAAAAAAAAAAGTTTTCATCTTCTGTCCAATTGGGAAATTTGTATCTTAATTATTATCTGCTGAATTCGGCCTGTCTGTGTTGCCTGTTTACTGTTTTGTGTATCATCATCACAAGTCTGAGCAAGAGTGAGACCCTGTCTCTACAGAAAACAGAAAAATCAGCCAGGTGTGGTGCTGCATGCTTATAGTCCCAGCTACTTAGGAGGCTGAGGCAGGAGGATTGTTTGAGCCTAGGAGTACGATGTTGCTGTGAGCTATGAAGACACCACTGTACTCTGGCAGAGACAAAGAGTAAGATCCTATCAAAAAAGAAAAGAAAGAAAAGAGAAAAGAAAAGAATCATCAACATCCTCAGTACTGACAAGGTACCTTTTAGTTTTTCAGTGTTCTGCACCACTTCATTCAGTGCCTCTAGAAGGGCTAGATCCTCTAGTGGACTCCCTTCTTTGAGGCTGTGCTTCTTCCGCTCTGCTTTGCGACGATTCTTAGATGATCTCCTATTAGAGATTAGAGAGATGTTTGAAAGGGGGCTTTTCCTATGCTGAACAAACTAAAATGAACACGCTTGTTGGCCACCAACTTTCTGGGAAGCCAGAGAGTCTACAGATGGTATTTGTATTTTGAGGGGGAATGATAATGAGGTGTTAAAGCAATACAGAAAAGAAAATTTGAGGTGGGGGGTCAGTCTTCTTGGCAGGAAATAAATCCCAAAGAGTGATATTTTTGCCTTGAAGTTTTGATCAAAATACAGAGTGAGATGATAATGCAGTATTCCCCATTATCTGTAGTTTCACTTTCCCCGGTTTTTATCACTCAAAGTCTTTCATGGAAGAAAATCAGATGGAAAATTCCAGAAATAAACAACTCATAAGTATTGAATAGCGCACCATTATGAGTAACATGATGAAATCTCATGCCATTTTGCTGGAACACGAATCCTGCCTTTGCACAGCTTATCACTGCTATCTACACTGGCCATCCATTAGTCAGGTCATCAGACTGACAGCTGTGGTGTGGCACTGCACTCACTGTGTGCATGGAATGCTTATTGTACGTCAATGGCTGCAAAGTACAAAAGTAGCAACGATGGCATATTGTTCTACCTGTTGTATCGTATTATAGTTCTTAATCTCGTTGTGCTTAATTTATAATTTAAACCTTATTATAGGTGTGCAGTACAGGAAAACATGACATATTCAGAGGTTGGTGCTGAGGTTGCAAGCTATCACTGGGAGTCTTGGAACATATTCCTCTCACGGATAAGAGAGAATTGCTTAAGCCCAAGAGTTGGAGGTTGCCATGAACTGTAACGCCACAGCACTCTATTGAGGGCAACATAGTAAGACTTTATCTCAAAAAACAAAAAAAAACTTGAAAAGCAATAAAATAGAATTTAAGGAGGTAAGACACACCAGATTGGAATCTGATTATACTAAAATATGTACGAATCCTATTCTTTCCTACCTCAGAGGTCTTAAATCATGCTACTTGTTTTGATTGGAATTTTCCTTCCAACTTTTCTTTTTCATGAGATGAGGTCTCACTGTGTTACCCAGATTGGAGCATAATGGCTACTCATTGGTGTGACCTCAGCACACTACAGCCTCAAACGCCTAGGCTCAAAGTGATCCTCCTGCCTCAGCCTCCCAAGTAGCTGAAACCACAGGCATGTTCCATCATACTCAGCTTCTCCCCAACTCTTAAAAACCCAGTTCTAATTGACTTTCTTGAAGTTTCCGATCAACTCACACAACTTCACAGATCTCCATTCTGAATTCCTAAAGCACAATTCAGTTTAAATATCTATAATCTTACATTGTTCTGTATCTCCCAACCAAGACTATAAGCTCTTATAACTCATATCTTCTTGTAATTTTCTGGTAATGTCCACTGCATCTTGCATGTGGATAAATAACTACACTGAGTAAAAGTGTGGTGACTTACTTTATGTGTATGATCTCTTCCAATCCTGATTTTGAATTAAAGCAGCTGAAATATGCTTTTCTTTATAACCTTTTCATTTCTTCAGTACCTGTACATTATAGTCATTAACATTTATTCAGCAAGTAAAATCAGCTATTAAGTAAACTGAGTGCCCAGTGCAAGTGCCTCACGGGCAACAGGCAAACGCAAAGGCCATGAATCCGCAGAAGAAAACATTTCAACTCCGAGCCTCATCTATCAGATATAATGGGAAAGCACCTGTACAACTTCCACACAGCCTTAGGGAATATTCGCCCCTTTCCCGTTGTACTGTTCAGTGGAAAACTAAGCTATTTGCTTCTACTTCTCCATATGCCGGGCATGATTTATCTGCTGAATAACCGAATACATACGCTGATATCCTGGAGTTACTTTGGGAGTATTTGCCACTCATCTCACTGCCACTCACGATGCTGCTAGTTTCAGAGAAGAGGTCTGACTCTTGACGATGGAGCACCTCATCATCTAAAGAGAAGAACCAGATGCAGATGAAACACTGCCAGCTAACATGGGTTTGCTTTCAGGAAAGTGAATGGACTAGAGTCAACTGGACATTTCAAAGGATGGATGAAAATGAATGAATAATATTAAATACAATTATTATAATAAATGAGCAGTTTGCCAAACTTTTTTCTTTCTTTTTTTGAAACAAGGAGGGAACTCATTTTGTAAAACACAGAAGTTGTTCTGTAGTTTGGACGCAGATGAGTAGGATTGTCTGGCAGAGCTCTTCCGGTTTATGGCTGGTCTCGTCCCTAGGTCCTTGGTCAACACACACAGACATACATGGCCCCTGAGGGGTTTCACAAAGGCCTCAGACTTCCCCATGGCACAATAATCACATCACAGAAGGAACATTAACCAGCTCAGACAAGTGTGTGGTGTGGCTTGCCCCCTACTGCCCCACAAGTTTCAAGGTCTTCATGCAGACACTAAGTCTCAAGGTGTTCGTGCAGACAGACACTTACCCAGATTCACCTGCTGGGCTTGCTCCTTGAGTTCTCGAACCACCAATAAACGTTTCTTGTGGCGACTGAATGTGGTTGTCTGAGAATCCAGAAACACCATGTAATTTTTCTGGGCTAGAGATGGAGATTGAAAAATAATTTGAGTATAATGCTTAGGCAAAGACAAAAATTAAGATGGAAGGAAGTAAAGGAAGATTAGAATTCAACAAAAATAAAGAGTTAACTAGGTCTTCAAGCAAGCTTTTTGCTTAGTGAGCACTAGTGAATTGGAGATTGAGATCCAGATCTTAGGGCTCCTCAATATCATCCCAGAATATTCTCTACCACTAAACTTGTAAAATCACCTGAATAAAGACTTGATATCTAAGTCTTTGAGGACTGGCAAATAAAAGGAGTGCACCAGAAGCTGCTAACAGACATAAGAGGGAAATCACTCCATTGTTTCTTCCTACACATTACCAAAATGCCAATGGGTGTGAAATAAATGTATCCAAGGATTTCTGAAAATTTTTGCCCAATGGAAAAATAAATAACAGAAAAATGACACTAACATATGAAAAAAAGAAAAATGCTACTATCTAAGAACATATTTTATTAATAGTTATAAGTTTATACAGATGAATTATGAGCATTTTTCGAGGTTCTCATTAATGGTGAAAATCCAAGTAACAGTTGGCTGGCTGGATTCTTAGGGAACAGGAATCACACCTTCAGTAGCCAGTTAGGGGTACTTAAAGTGAATGATACAGAAAGTACCGCACCAACAGTTTTAATTGGGATGGAGAATGGAGGAGCATTACTTAACAGGATAGACTTGCTTGAAAACGCAGAGCTTAAAGTCAGTCCTCACTCCCTAAGATTTCTATAAATCACACTGAGGTCTTCTTCCTCCATCTTGCTTTAAAGGGGAAACAGTGACCATGTGAGTATTCTAGAACTGGTAATATTCATATGCATTCTAGGAACGATGCACTTCATTTGCAGAAAATTTTTTAAACTTTTTAAGATTTTGAAAAATTTCAAACATGTAAAAAAGTTGTAGTAATTCAAAGAACACATATATACCTTTCACCTAGATGTACCAATTGTTAAGATTTTACCATAGTTTTTGGTTTCCTGTTTCTCTGCATACACACACACATTATTACTTTTGTGGAACCTTTTGAGAGTAAGTTGTAGATATGATCCTTCATTCCTAAATACTTTAGCATTTATCTTTTAAGAATTATAGAATATACAGGCAGTGACCATAGCTCAGTCAGCAAAGGTGTCAGCCACATACACCTAGGATGGTGGGTTCGAACACAGCCCGGGTCTGCTAAGCAACAATAACAACTGCAACCAAAAAATAGCCAGGCATTCTGGTGGGTGCCTGTAGTCCCAGCTACTTGGGAGGCTGAGGCAAGAGAATCGCTTAAGCCCAAGAGCTGGAGGTTGCTGTGAGCTGTGATGCTACAGCACTCTACCCAGGGTGACACCTTGAGACTCTGTCTCAAAAAAAAAGAAAAGAAAAAAGAATAATAGAATATGATCTTACATAACCACATACAATTATTAAATGCAGGAAACTTAACTATTAATATTATACTATTATCTAATATAGTTGATATTCAAATTTACCAACTATTCCCAAATACAAAGATTCTTAACTGTATTTTATCACAGGTTTCTAACATTCAAATCTTTTGTGTGTACCATTTGCTAGTTTAGCATTTAAAATTTTTGTCAGAATTAAATATAATATACAGTGGAAAATTTAGATTGAGCCTATCAACATATTACCTAAAAATGCAGTACGAGAGGGACACTCTCCTACTCTCTCCTTCCCTTCTCTATGCTTCCATACAAAGGTTTCTATGTAAATTGCGATCCTCACCTTCTAAAATGGAAGGCTTTATGTTGGTTTCTATAATGTCCAGTCTGTTATATTTGTATACCTAGAAGGAAAAACATAATCATTTTAGGCAGGAAAACTTTTAGCCACTGGAAAGACATGAATTGCATTCAGAGATGACCAGGATATTTTGTGAAAAGCAGGCTTCCCCAAGGCAGCCAAGAAAACTCAATTCATTTGAGAAAAAAACAGTAATGTTTGACATTTAGAGAACTAATTCCAAACAATATCAAGGATAAATGTTAAAAACAGTTTTAAAAAGACTGCTTACCCTTAGGCTAGGAACTTGACCTACCTCTTCTCATACTTAATTGCACTAACCTCAAAAGACAAGAAAATTCCAGTTGACCTGGACTCCCTTGCTCTTTCTCCCTGCTTAGCACCCAACATATGGACGATTTAAAAAATTTTCTTACCAGCCTCAAAGCTTCTTCCCAGGCAGCTCCTTCTAACAGTAAGAGTACAGCTTCTTCATAATCCTGGTAACAGAACAGCAAGAAAGACAACAGGTGAATGAAGCAAGCATGCCAAATGTTATCATAACTACCTGTAAAACTGCCCTGAGGACTGATTCCATGTCCCTATCCCCTACAGTCCCAGTTCTCAGTATCCCTGGGCAGCACTAGCCCCTACACTACCAGTCCTCAGTATCCCTGGGCAGCACTAGCCCTTATACTCTTAGTCCTCAGCATCGTGCCTGCTTAGAGTCCACGTTCCATAAATACTGATGCAAGTGACAAAGGAGGGGTGTGTATTTTGCAAGTAATGACAAAATACAGGTAAACATCACATCTCCATATCCCAGATATCCATTTGATATCTGGATATCAAAACCACCGGACAGATCTGTTAAAAATGACTATAATCCCAGCTTTAGTACCAAGTTAGATTTAGCACATTTAAGTGGGCTCTAAAATTGTTAATAAGACATTTTGAAAAAGTGGTAGACTAAAATAGTAATCTTTCAAACATTTTATTTTATCCTTTTAAAATGCTTATTTTTGGCCAGGTGCAGTGGCTCATGCCTATAGTCCTAGCACTCTGGGAGACTTAAGTGGGAGGATCCCTTGAGCTCAGGAGTTCAAGACCAGCCTGAACAAGAGAACTCATCTCTACTAAAACAACATAAGACTAGCCAGGCATTGTGGTGGGTACCTGTTATCTCAGCTACTCAGAAGGTTGAGGCAAGAGGGTCACTCTAGCCCAAGAAATTGAGGTTGCTGTGAGATCTGAAGCATGGTACTCTACCCAGGGCATAGAGTGAGACTCCGTCTCAAAAAAGAAAAAGAAAAAACTATCTGGTGTCCTGGCAGGTGCCTATTGTCCCAGCTACTTAGGAGGCTGAGGCAAGAAGACTGCTTGAGCCCAAAAGTTTAAGGTTGTTGTGAGCTGTGATGCCACAGCACTCTACCCAGGGTGATAGAGTGAGACTCTGTCTAAAAAAAAAAAAAAAAAAAAGCTCATTTTTTTTTCTTGTTTTGAAAAACTTTAAATTTAAGAAAACAATGAGTAAAATAAACATCTTATACCCTATAGTCTTCAGAAAGTTTTGATGTTGTATCCTTATCAGTAAAAAGACTTTGATTATGTGCCCCAATCTAAAATTATGTACTTAAAAATCATATATGACTTAGCATATTTTTAAAAGATGAAATGAACAAAAAAAATCAACTAGATTTCCTCAAATAATCACTCTCACAAAGGGGGCAAAGAGTATATATTAGATTAAGGATATCTAAAGGACATAAGATAC